CAAGTAATTGCACGGAAATAGAATGAGCTTAGTAATTTCAATTAGGTTAGAAAATTTTCAAATTTGCACAAACCTCTCATCTCGATTCTCTTCTAGCTTAACATTTGAAATCCCAGTCCAAGTCACGTCTCTACTCCCAGCCCTAGAGTCATTGAAAGTGACCAGGGTTTGAATTAGGGCTAAAGATTTAATCTTTAAGAAGCCAAAAGTTGGGGTTAGGTCTTTGATTTGTACCTTGAGGCCTCTTCAATTGCTTGCTCCATCAAATCATTGCAAAGATTTCTCTCTCTCTCTCTCTCGAAGAAGAAGAAGAAGAAGAAAAGAACGGAAGAAAAAAAAATACTGCTTAAAACCCAAACCGGAACCAAAACTTCTTGTATTTAAAAATCCGAACTGGGCCTGGACAGATAGCGACAATTTGTATCGGCCCTTTACTGGAAACTTAATGGGCTTTAAATGGCCTAAATAAATAGTTGTCGGACGTCTTCTTGCGGTTACTAAAAAAAGAGCTTTGCTACAGGGACCCAAAATATGGGACCAATAAATGGGACAAGTGAGATGTCTCCCTCCTATCGGATAATGAGTTGGCCATCATTAATAATGGCCAACTCATTATCTAATAGGAGGGGGACACCTCACTTGTCCTCTTTATTGGTCTCATATTTTGGGTCCTTAAAGAATTTTTCCTAAAAAAACACTAAAAGTTTTTTTCCCCTCTAAATCACCTGTAAAGCAGATAAAATTGGCGGAAAACATCTTTGATGTTTTTTTATTGTAAACCATGTTAGGACGATGTTTGGTTCACTCTAAATTATTAGAAACAATGTGTTTTTTTAGGATTTAAAGCAAAAAGTATGTTTTTTGTCATTTTAGGATTTCAAAAGTTGGGTTTGTTTCAATTTTTTTTCATGAAAATGTTTCTTAAAAAACCTCCAAACAGTGACTTTTTTTGGACAGCTCATTTCCTATCTTTTGGCTAGGAAATGGGCTAGAAAGCTGACAACCCGCTGACAACTCATCATTTCCTCTCACAACTCTTCTTATTATTTGAAAATGAAACAAGCTTAAGTTTTGGATATGCTTTCCTATTCTTTACTTTATCATTCCATATCAAACACAAGATTTGGATTCCTTAGATATCCTTAAAAAAATTAAATTTGGTTTCTTATCAGGGAATTCATTTCCATAATTTTATGGAAATGAACCAAACAGCCCCAAGTGGATTTCTTTTGCATTCAACCACTTTTAGTCAATTTCTGCTCAATTAATATCTAAACTAATCCAAATTGCCCCTATTAATTACACGTGTCTTGCATCTTTTTCCCACCAAACCCCATTACCAGTTCTCAATCAAACAACCCACTCATTACAAACAAATGAAAGGGCATAAATCTCCCCCAAGATTTATCTAGAGTGTCCCTCCTCCTTCCCCTAATTTCATCAACACACCCCTCACCTGAAAAAAAAAAATTTCAGGGAGGAACCTAAAAAGAAAGATAATTCTCTTAACATTCCCTTCTCTTCTCTTCCATATTTTTTTCTCGACCCCCCGTGAAATCCAAACATGCCCTTAAGCTTAATCGAGAGAGAAGGAGAGGAGACTCTCCGAATATGGAAAAAGGAAATAGGGGAAGCTAACTGCTATAAACTAATTAATTAGAGATTAAATTCTAGTTAAGTGGTGGGGTTATTAACATGGGTAATTTGGGTTGATTGCAAAAGAAATTTGCTTATAATTAAGGTGGTTTACGTCCACCAATTTCACCTATTTTAAAAGGTGGTTTCCATGGGGGAAAACCCCAAAAAACAAGGACCCTCAACTGATTAATCATTAATTATTAATCATTAATTATCTAGTGAGTGGTGTGGTTCATTCTAAATGTAGAACTTATCATACCCTCTTGAATTACACTTTGAACGCGGATTGAGTGTATGTGGGGGCCACTTCACGTGAGCAAGAAGTGAAGGGACAGCGTGAACAAGCTGCGTGAAAGGATGAAGGTGGGGGCCACAATTGAACATGCGTGAAGAGATGAGACTTAATTGAAATAGAAACCCTAATTCATTATGAGATCTCTTGGGCTTTATATAGGCCCCTTACACAAATTACAAATAAGTCCTAACTAATAATAATATGTCAACACTCATCCTCAAGATGGGCGAAAGATATCTACTAAGTCCATCTTGTCACATCCTCTAATCATATCTACTGAGCTAAGTCCTTTAGTCAGACAATCTGCTGCCTGGTCCTTAGTCGAAACATGACTTAGCTTCAGTAGTCCACTATCCAACTTCTCTTTGATGAAGAACCTATCGATCTCGATGTGTTTGGTTCTATCATGCTGCACTGGGTTGTTGGCAATACTGATGGCAGACTTGTTGTCACACCACAACTTTATCTTAGCTCCTTGATCCAGTTTCAGCTCCACCAGCATACTCTTCAACCATAGCAACTCAGCAACTCCTAAGGCCATAGCTCTATACTCTGCCTCAGCTGTCGATCTCGCCACCACCGACTGCTTCTTTCTCTTCCACGAGACTAAGTTGTCTCCTATAAAGATGCAGTATCCTGAGGTGGACCTCATGTCATCAGCACAGCTAGCCCAATCAGAGTCACAATAGCCCTCAATGCTCATGTGTTCATTCTTCCTGAAGATTAGCCTTTTTCCGGGGGCATTCTTCAAATACCTTAGAATCTGGTACACTGCGTCCATATGACCCTTCCTTGGATCATGCATGTAGCGACTCACCACGCTCACTGCAAAAGAGATATCGGGGCGTGTGTGACACAGATAGATCAACCTGCCCACCAGCCTTTGGTATCTATCGCGATCAACTGGTTTTCCAGCTTCAGCACCCAGCTTAAACTTCTGGTCGATCGGTGTAGTTGTAGGTTTGCATCCTAACATTCCTGTTTCTTTGAGAAGATCCAGTGCATACTTTCTCTGGGATAGGACGATCCCCTCCGCTCCTCGAGCTATCTCTATTCCAAGAAAGTATCTAAGCAAGCCAAGATCTTTCACCTCAAATTCCTTACCCAGTCTCACTTTGAGTTGGGCAATCTCCTTCTCATCATCCCCTGTAATAATCATATCATCCACATATACCGCAAGCATAGTAATATGGTCGGCGCTGATCTGCTGGTACCCCATACCAATCATAGCCCTCCTGAATCTGTCAAACCAAGCACGAGGAGACTGCTTTAGCCCATAGAGAGACTTCTTCAATCTGCAGACCTTTCCCACTGTTTGATCTGTACCGAATCCTGGTGGTATCTCCATGTATACTTCCTCCACTAGATCTCTATGAAGGAATGCGTTCTTCACATCTAGTTGGTGTAGCTTCCATCCACCATTTACTGCCAGTGAGATTAAGGTCCGAACAGTGCTCATCTTTGCCACCGGTGCAAAAGTCTCATCGTAGTCGATGCCATATGTCTGACTATATCCTTTTGCCACCAAACGTGCTTTGTAGCGTTCAACCTGTCCATCTGGATTCTGCTTCACAGTAAAGATCCACTTGCAACCAACTGCTCTCTTCCCTTTTGGTAGTTTTACTAGCTCCCAAGTGCGGTTCTTCTCAAGGGCCCTTAGCTCTTCGTGCATAGCAGCTTTCCATTTCTGGTCCTTCTTTGCAACCTGCCAATTGTTAGGTATAGTAACAGAGTCCAGAGATGCAATGAATGCTCCATGTGCGGGGTGGATGTTAGAATATGATACAAACTGAGCAAGATCCCAACCATATCTATCGGGAGGATTTCCCGCAGTACTGCGAGTAGTCCTCCGTACGGTTATTGGTGTGGGATGAGTAGGAAGAGGAATGGAATCATCTTGAGAGGAATCTGGTGGTGATGTAGGTGTCTCAGGAGTCGGGGCAGGCGTTGGCAAGGGACTTGGCACTAGTGGCACTGTAGGTACTGTTCTCGCAATTTGTTTCCCCTTCCTACTATAGGTAAGTAGTTCCCCCTGAGCCGTTGGTCTGACCCCTCTTGTCTCATTCTCCTCTTCTTCTTCATTCTCTTGCTCCTCCTCAACCAAGTCTCCTTCCCAAGGAATCATTACAGATATTGATTTTTCTGATCTCTTACCATTCTCAGACATTGATTTCTCCATTCTCTCACCATTCTCCTCCTCTCGCCTCATACTTCCAGTATTAGGCGAGTTACCAACAGATGAAGTTACCTTCCGAGTGTAATATGGCTCGAGTTCTCGGAAGTGCACATCCATACTCACAAACAACCTTTTCTCCACCGGACTCCAGCAAACATATCCCTTCTGAGTAGCAGAATATCCTACAAAGATGCACTTCACAGCTCTAGGGGCAAGTTTTCCGACAGATGGCCTGTTGTCCTTCACAAAGCACACACAGCCAAACACTTTAAGTGGAAGAATCCCACCATTATCTCCTTTTAATGTCTCACACGGAGACTTCCAATCCAGCACTCTCGAGGGCGTTCTGTTGATCAGCGCTGCTGCGGTTAACACTGCTTGCCCCCACAATGTTTCTGGGACATTCATAGAGATCATCATGCTTCTAGCAACCTCTAAAAGATGTCTGTTCTTCCTTTCTGCTACCCCATTCTGAGCTCGTGTATATAGACAAGTCGTCTGGTGATGTATTCCCTGAGCTGACAAATATTCTTCAAACGCTCTGTTGGTATACTCTGTCCCATTATCCGACCTCAATATCTTCACCACTGCTCCGTATTGAGTCTGAACATTCCTATGAAAGTTTTGGAAGCACCCAAACACTTCACTCTTATTCTTCATCAAGTATAACCAAGTCACACGAGAGAAACAATCAATAAATGTAACAAAATACTTGTATCCATTCATAGAACTTGTGGAACAAGGCCCTCAAACATCTGAATGTACCAAGTCAAATACACGAGAACTTCTTTGACTTGAACTAACATAAGAGCTTCTAGTAAGCTTTC